ATATATTTTTTTTAATATACATTATTAAGTTTGACTTTTGTATCTTTTTTTTTAGTAATATTTATTTGACTTTTCACTTTGCTTATAAAAATTATTATTATATCTACTATTACATATTGTATACTAATATATTAAATTGAAGCTTACTTAATAAGATATAATTTATATAAAAAAATTTACTTTTTTTGTCTCTTTCTTTTTTCAAATTAAAGTAACAGAATATCTAATAACTTTATCTATAAAAATTTTTTTTGATCTAATTTTAGAAAATATGAGGTAGAACTTTATATCAAATTAATATTATTTCAAGTTAATATTCAATTTCTCTGTTCATATTACTTTAAAAAAGTATACTACTATGATCAACAATACTTTATTGGCAAGGTGAAACCAATATGAAAACTATAATTATTGTTATTCTGAAACTCTACTTCATTGAAACCATTATTGCTCTGAAACTCCATCTTGCTAAAATAATTGTCACTTTGTAACTTCACTTTGCAGAAACTACTGTTATTCCTACATATTACCTAATCACTGACCTAAAACTTCGAATTAAAACATTAATAGAAATTATCAAGATACTGGAAATTATAGTCAAAGATCTATTTCACTAGCAAATGAATATTCTCGCCACCATTCAAAAAGTTCTAATGAACACAAGAATAAAGGTGACTATATATATAAAAAAAGTGCTACAAAGCTATAACAAGCAAATTTTATAAGATTTGCTTGGTTTAGCTTTGTGGTACTCAAAAAAAGTTTTTGCTAATAGAGCTATTGAATTATCAATATGCTTAACAAAAGATTTTATATTAATAAAAGTCACTTTTTTAAAAACTACAGTACAAAGTATGCTTAATAAAGTAACAAAATTAAAATTTAATAAATTAACTACATCAAAAGATTGTTTAAAACATGTTGTAGATAATAATAATCAAATAAATAAAAATGAACCTAATAAAATACTTGAAAATACCAATACTACTAATATACCTGAAAATACTAAAACTACTAAAATATCTAAAGAAGTTAATAAAACATAAAGTATATAATTATTAGTCTTTTTATTTAGATATATTTTTTGTCACTTTTTGCTTTTGTAAATTTAATAT